TAATTGTATTTCCCTGTTATATAATTTATTGAAACCCTAATCTAATGTTGAGTTTGACATCTTTTCCCCTAAGGAGACATATAGTTGGGACTGGTGTTGCATAAACTCCAGAAGATGAAATTGAAACTTGATATTATCCATATATATGTTGGCAGATGATTACAATGGAAAATGTAATATTAAAGTTCATCCCAAGGATTCTCTGTTATATTGAGATCTGGTGATTATACTAACCAAGGAGGATGACAGTCATGCTATTGTTCTAACTTTAGCTGGATGTAAAATTGGCTGTGTAAGTTTTAAGTACACTGAATTGTTATATTACCATCTTAGAAAAGTCCTTGCTAATTAGGGATTAATGTAAAGCTTCTCTAATTTTCAGCATGCTATTTGGTACACACACTAATATGTTGTAAGTTGCAACATGGAAAGAAACTGTTAACATGAATTTTTTGTAGCTAGCAGAACAGCATAAAAGTTGCTGTAAATTATTTATTGTTTTCTTACTAGAAATTCCCCTTTCTTTCACAATTGACACAGGTAAGTACACACTTTAATCCCTATTGTAAAAAAATCAACTATTTAAGCAAAGAAGAGGAGACATCAATGCATCACACTTATCTAGATTTTTTTAGAAAATGAAGTAATCCTTCAAATCAATTTTTATTATTGTACTGTTAATGGGAATTTTTTGTAACTTGCCTTATCAACAGGTTCTAAACTGCCTAACCACATTATTGGAACTTCTGTGTAATGCTGGGTTTGGTATCTTTTACCATAAGAAGAAGACATGCTTTTACTTATTGTTTTGCAGACTACTCATGATAAAAACTACGTCTCTGGAATTATAAAGCTGTTCTAACAATCACCTAACACATTACATGATCAGATTATTCTGCATTATGCAAATAGGTGGTGTGTTTTATAAATATGTATATATGGGGTTTTGATAATGTGGGTTGTCAGTGTATGACTAAAAAAGCATTGGTAATTATATCTTACGATGCAAATTTAACCTCTGACTGCAACTGCTTTAAACGCATGTGGAATTTTTGTGAGCTCTACACGGCACACTCACATTCAAGTGTTGGAGGTGGACTGTATGGCAAATGAGCAGTCAATGGATTAAATTAGAGAATGTTGGAGGTGGACTGTATGGCGAATGAGCAATTAGTGGGTTAAATTAGAGAATGTTGGAGGTGGACTGTATGGCGAATGAGCAATTAGTGGGTTAAATTAGAGAATGTTGGAGGTGGACTGTATGGCAAATGAGCAATTAGTGGGTTAAATTAGAGAATGTTGGAGGTGGACTGTATGGCGAATGAGCAGTCATTGGATCAAATTAGAAAATTATGTTAACGTACCTGTAAACTGCTGTAAAAAGAATCAGTTTTTGTATCGAGCACCACAGAATCTACGATCCTGAGAATAGTTTTTGTTACAGGAACAGAAGCTTTGACTTGGATTATTTTTTTATTGTACTAAACATATCAACAAAAGTTTCAATAATCTTTATATGTAAGCTTGTAACACCAACAAAAGTTTAAATTTGGAGAATCTATACTTTAGAAATTGGCTATATGAACAGAGGTTGTCGCTCAAAGAATCAGTTTTTATAACTTATATGAAGATTAGTTTACCACAGTCATGAATAACGAGCAGGTTAATTCAAGAATTTAAAATAAATTAACAAATAAATGATGGTGTTAAAAATTCTTACCCTAATTCTGATGTATTGACATGTTTTTACATAAAACTCATGAGAAATTACATTTTACCAACTTTAATCGAGTTCACACCATAACAGTTGTTGTCAAGCAATTTGCTAATATAGATTTTCAGTCTCTGCTGTGTGTGTTGTATCCCAGCCAGCCTGAAGAACACTGGATACAGCATATAGTGAGAACATTAATCATTACCTTTCAGAAAGAGCTAGACTTTAAGGAGATTGAACTTAGGTGACATGAAGAGTACCATATAGGATACTAAACAATAAAACTCAGCACAAGGCCCAGTCAGTATATTCTCCTAATGATTAATACACAACAGAAGAGAGCTTTGATTGAGCTGTCCACTTGCATTTTTTTTTTCATCTTTTGCAAGTTAAAAATTTATATCAAATGAACTGAGGAATAAAACTAGGAAAATATCCAATACTGTTAACTATTAAAAACTAGTTAAAATAAAAAGTGCAAAGCCCAAACAAAACTTAGTTACAGGAAGCCAACAGCACAATAGTTGAAGTACTCAATAAAACTACAGAAATGTTTCCATTAGCATTAATATAGACTTTGCAGAAGGTTTAAACTTATTGATTACATGGTGGAATAAATGAAACTTTCTCTGTAATCAATCTAGAAAGAAGTATAATGTATCAGTGAAATTTCTTTGTAATTCTCTCACATTACTGATCTGCTACAATATCTTTTACTTGGATAATACGAACTTTGTGATTAGAGTACAAATAATTACATGAAGACACTAAAGGTTCAAAGTTATGATAGTATCCAGTGCACTTCGTGTATGCTTTATATGTGTCCATTGTCAATACCTGAACAAGTATACACAGCCACTCACTTAATGTCTCTTAAAGCAAGTGTGTGTGTGTGGTAATTACCAACAATGGCCAAGACATCATTAAAAATAAATAAATAAATAAGTTTAGAAATCAAACACAGTAACTTAAAATGATTTAAGTTACAAACATCAAAGTAGTGTATAAAGTTCTCACCAGGTTCTGTATAATAATTGTATAAATATTCTTTATTCCCTTCCCTAGGACTATTTACAAAACATTTACCTCAGTGAATCACCATGTGCATTTCTGCAATCACATGTTGGGAAAAGACTAAGTCCTTAGCTTATTTAGTTAAAACAAGTTGAATTTTAACAGTATTAAAGTAATAATCAAATTCAAACTATTTGAAATAACACTATGTAAAAATGAATGTCATGGGTGCAGCAAGAATACTATCAACAGTATCCGCTGTATAATGAAATTAATAGTCAATGATATAATCAATACAAGTTCAAAATATTACAGAAATGGGCACAGTTTTTTGAAGCATTTCAAAAATAAATATGTTTATATGTAACTAATTGGTACTGTAATAAAAAAAAATCTTTGAAATAACTTTAATAAAGATTTGTGCTTGTGTCACTGAGCATTTTACAGAAAATACAAACTTGTACACCTACTTAGCATTGTATAACAAAAATTGAGTTTTGCAATTTTGTATACTATTAAACACTGACAAACACCTAATAAAAAAGTAATACATCAGAAATACAAATAATTTTTTTTATACACACATAATATTTCAATTACATACCAAAATAAACCTAGCAACTAAAAACTAATTCAAAAACAAAATCTAAAAGTTTTATATGAAAACATTATCAACATGGAATTTAACTATCTTTGCAGTAAACTACACATCTTAAGTTTTTTTATGAATCAATCCTCAAAGAGACTTTAAAGGTTTATTTGTTTATTAAAATGGTTTAATTCCTGCCAATCATAAAAAACTAACAAGCTGCAATTAAAAATTATATTTTTATCCAAAACTGGATAATTCATAAAATGGTTTAAACTTTGCTAAAGAGAATACAATCCACCTTATAAACTGTTATTCGGGAAAAGAATCAACAAAATTTTAATGACTTTACTTAATTAAAAAACAAAGGTTAAAACAGTAATTCAACAAACAGTTATAAGAAATAAGCATCTATATGTACCAAGATGCACAATCTTTACAACTGTGTGGCAAGTCTTTGCCTTATTTAGGTATTACATCACTAATGTTTGTACATGAAACTTCAGGACATTTAAGAAATTGTGTTGATACATATGTCATCCTGATTTAACAAAAAAGCTTAAAAATAAGAATTGAGAATGTTACACCTAAATGAAATTTTTGATCTCCAAGTTGTGCTATTTTTAGCTTGTACATAATGAAGTCAATTTTCTTTCAGTAGACAGAAGTACAATATTGTACCGAACATGGTAATAAGTAACCGTGACCTCAGTAAACACGATAAAATGCTCCAGTGCAAAATCCAAACAACTACTGAGAATAAAATAATCTTTACTTTGATGTTACTATCAATGATCAAGAGAAGAAGTTGCAGGTACTATAAATGTAAAAATAAGGAACTACATAAATTAGTCAAATATGTTTGTTGTGGCAGTGTTATATAACTAGGTTTCTGGAATTATTTTGTAATTTAAAACACCAATATACCAATCAACCAAAATTAGGGCAAATCTGTACACATTATTTGCTACTCAGTCCCAAAGAATTTAAATAGTGTAATTTTGGCCAAATGGTAACAAACTTTATCTTAGTCCTTTTTGCAGTACAACAATAAACAAAAATGATAGGTGGAATGGCTATGGTGTAAACATTCAAATGAATAACAAAATGGAAACTAAAACAAGTACTAAGTTATTACATACACATTATTATTGTTCACTACAGGTGTCATTTCAAGCAACTAAAGTCATTATTTCACTGACTACAAACAGGTAACTTGCTCTGATCAGAAGTTTATATTGATTGAAGCTCTATAAATGTTTAATACCTTTCATGCACATACACAAGTAAAGATGGAAATGTCTCCAACTAATACTGAACCTGCCTATTTTGAAAGAACTACAAACCACGAGATGGTAAAAAAGAAAATAACTGTGAACATATAAATAAATTATGAAAGAAACTGTTCCAATTGATTAAAAAGCTCCATTAAATATTTTTATCATTTTATGTACATTTCATCTAAAAATTACAAAGTATATTACGTGTATCTCAGAGTTTTCACCAATAATGAACCTGTTTAATAATGGCTGGAGATGGCTTGAATGGGTAATGAAGAAAAACTTTAATATAAGTTTAACATAACAGCAAATGTACAACGTTTCGACAAGGTTCTGTCATTATCAGGTAATGTACATTTGCTGTTATGTTAAACTTATATTAAAGTTTTTCGTCATTACCCATTCAAGCCGTCTCTAGCCATTATTAGTCTCAAAGTGGGTTCCTCGTCATCGAAAATGAACCTGCTTGTATGAGCAAATTTACAATTTAAAGAAAATATAAATTATCCTCTTCATGTTAGTCCAACTACCCGAATACTTCCCACCATACGATATTTTGTAATAGAGTTTCTCTTAGTTTTGCAATGAAATATATATATATATGATCCATATATATCTATCTTATTTACTTTGATCTATCTCACCATAAGAATGTACTGTTCACTGGACACCTTCTCCCAGTTTTTCAGTTAAAGAAGTATAGAAAATTATGTTACTGGTCATGCCAGGTATTTTACATTTCTTCATATATGTGTACGAACACATATAAACCTTGAATTACCACAAAATACATACACCATCAAATATATTTACTTTTAACATATAACATTCTAACATGTTTATCAATCATGGTTTACATATTTTCTATTTTAATAATGAAAATTATATGGAAGAATTCATTAGTCCATTTAAAAACTTGCTTTTAAATCTAACTCACAAATTATTAAATTATTCTAAAACAATAACTAGAGGTGAACGTAACAGACATCAAAGAGGTTAAATTAATTATAAATACCAATACATGTACACATCTGTAAATATACACCAAAAATCTAAACTTGACATATGTGACTTGAAAAGTTTTCATCTACATAATGTCTTATAAAAGTAGAAATAACATATGTATAGCTGGGTTAACAAGTTTATTTACAAAGAAAACTTAAATTTCCACACTTTGCTGAGTGTCACTGGACAAGCAGTTTTATCCAAGCATAAACTACCAATATAACAAATACAACGTATGGTATATCAATTAAAAATCTTCAAAGTCACTATTTTTCCTTCCCACCAAACATTTTCAAGATTAACCAATGAGAAATTTCATATTCAAATAATGTATATTATGTAGTTTGAAAAACAAAAAGATAAATATTATTAGTTTCAACAAATTTTAGATTCAAAAGAAAATCAAACTTCCTCTATACAAACATACAAGCAATATTGTTTGAAGCCAAAAAGCATTTACAAGTCATTTTCATGAAATTTTAAAAATGCTTCCTTTTTGGCATATCAGTTTCAGGAAATGCAAACAAAACAACAGAATTACTAAATGGCAACACTAAATACATACAACATGTTTAGTTGAATTGGTCAATACAGCAAACAGTGAATGACAAAAAACAGTTTCTTCACAACAGCCTTTAGAGCTATTTGGGAGTTCATACAGTTATAAAGAATAAAAAATTAAAGAATCAGAAAATAATTTACTCTAGTAAAATAAAGAAATATGGTTACAGAAGAAAATCAGAAAATTCAAAATTGCCAAATCATAACAAATTCGAACACAAAACATAAATGACTTTGAAATCCGAAGTATTTATAGCTTGTATTCAGAATTGTGTAGGAAAGTTTCTTAATATATGGATAAAGGTAAAGAAACTGTGGTCTGTTTACTAGTTAACAAAGAAGTGCGACCTCAAGAATTACATGTTTGTTTGAAATCTTGTTGATTATAAAATGTTCATTTAAAAGTAAATTCTATACTAAAATCATAATTGTTTTCTTCACTTTATTTAACTATCATGAACTTGATTGTGAAATGCAAAAATTTGAGAATGCCAAATAATGAATGAACCAGATGAAGAGACCATCAAACAGCATTTCAGAAACAAATCTTACAGCTTATTTTCTGTAAAATGCATAAAGGCAAAGCTAAGTTATTCCATTGCTTGTAGAACCCTTTCTGTCAGTTATAGATATATAAGTTTAAAAACTTCCTATATGCATATGAAGAAGTATAACTTTAAGGCTATTCTTTCTCTCATGTTGGCAACATTCATTACTTAAACGTTACATTTTTAAATTACTATTTAGCACACTATACAAAGACAACCTTATACTGCATGACAAATAAAATTAAACATAAAACTCTTGTAGTCTATTGGCTTACATGTAAAGTGAAATCTTCATAAAACATTAATTGCAAAAACAAGTCTGTAAATTATTACAAGAAGGAAAACGTCTTTTGTGAAAACTAAAGTGCATTTACTGTGACCATGTGAGTTGATAAACAACAGAACACTTACTCTGTAATTCTTTATTTGTTATTTTTTACTATTTATCTTTAAAAGCTTTTAAAATTAATATTATTGTAAATTTATGCAATTTGACATCAATTCAATAAGCTAAACAACACTAGGCTTTACTGATTTACAGACTATATGCTGTTAAAGCCTGCCAGTACTCTTATTCCACATATAACAAAACTTCCTATGTAAGAAAGACTATGATGAATGGATTATAATTTGCTCTTACCTTAAAGTACCATCAAGAATCATGAGACAAATTATTCCATGTATAATACCTCCTAGCAATCACCACTGATCTAAACTAATACTCTATTAACAAAATCTCAAGGGTATAAATAAACAAACCTCCTCATTTTACAAATATTGGAATTAACATATAAGAATGTTTTACCTAACTTTACAAAAAAAAAAAAAAGTCTAACTGGGAATTAATGCTTCGTACAAGCTAAATGACTGGAAAATGTTTAACATTTATAGCTACATGAAACAAATGCTCCTGGTTATGAATACCACTACGTAAATTTGAATGAAACAGCCTAATAAAAGAACTGTACAATTATGAATTAAATAGTTGAAGTGTGGGAAAACACAGTAAATTACCAGTAATCAATGAAATATACCTAAACACTAACTTCAGAGTGCTTTAAAATGTTTTCATATAGCAGAATTTCTGTGATTTGAGAGAGTCGTGACAGGTGATAAAGTTTGGATTCCAGCCTTACAAGATACAACCGTAGCATGGTCTAACTTTCCAGGAACCATCGCTAACTTTTCCCCAACCTTTCGTCGACGTCTACGCTGTTCAAGTTGATTTAAAGCAGCAGCATTATCCTTGTAAAGTTCAGGATCTTCCAAGATCCTTCTCTTAGCTACTGTAAGCTTAGTAGCAAAATCAATCATCTGCTCACACAGTTGGCGTGCAGTTTCACAAGGCTTGTCACCTTCATTCACTCCGTTTGTTAGAAGATCTTCCATCCGTAGCAGTGTAAGCTCATGCCGCTGATGAGCTTCAACCATTGGCAGAGTAATTTCAGCTTGAGGGCTGTGCTTTTCATCTCCATTACTATTTGCTCTTTGTAGTATCTCTTGTTTCTGGATTTTGCTTTCTTCTGGAGTGTCCTCTATTGTTGCTTTAGGTGCAGTTCTCTCAGTTTTCTTAGGGAGGGCAAACTTTCCTACAACAGGGTCAAAATTGTCAGAGATTCCATCACTTGTTAAAAACACTATATCACCAGGGTCAACTATTGTCATAGCAACAGTGAGATTGCTGAGTTCAGGATTCTGTCCATCAACAGGTCCTAGAGCACCAAGAGCATCCCTCATGTCTCGCATTGAATAAATATCATGAGATCCTACCAAACAGAAAATTCTCATTTTACTAAATTGTGTCCAGCTTAGTGTACAAATCAATGTCATTCAGAAATATTATATTAAAATTTTTTTTAAACCACTAAGAATTGCAAGGCATATTGGTTATCCTATGCTGAACCATAGAAACTACTTAATAAGAATGACAGTACTTTAACATTAGAAGTAATATAATTCAATCAGAAATTCAGACTAACATTTCACTGAACAGTAAAGTTAAGAGTTAAGCAGTGTTTTTAGTTTTCAGGTATTAAGATGAAATGTTTATTGAAGAGGCTGAAATAGGTTAGAAACATAATAAAGTGATTAAATGGAGAAAAATGAAGAAAACTATTTCAAGAAATTTTTTAATAGGATGACCTACTTGGGTGAAGTGTTTCATTCTAATATTTATACTTAGAAAAGTAACATTTTCAAGTAGAAATGTACCCTTTGTTTCATAAATGAAATTGATTTTCGTTTCATATTAGCTACTAACACATTGGCAGAATAAACAAAAATGAACTTGTTTTCTACAATATATTTCTTGATCTTTTGATTTCATTGCATTGTGTACTTTTTCTCAGATTATAGACTGGCCCCACTAAAAACCCCAGATGCATACTACATGTAATGCATGGTAAAAAATAACAGAATCAGAGAAATGATAAAACTATATAAAAAAAGAGAAAGGAGGTCTTCATCTTAGCCTTGAAAACTGCTTAACAAAGTGAAGGATGCCTGTCAGAGGGCGTTAATCTGAAAAAAAAAGCCAAGTAAGCACACAGAAACTTTAAACAAGAAACAGTCAGCACAATCCAGTCAGTACACACCACCTTTCATGAGCTGTCAGGAAGATGTGAGGATCAAACAGAAGAGCTCTATTTGAAGTATTGGTAGGGCTGACTATTGACCAGTTTGTTTGTTACACTCAAGAAGACAATCTTTAAGAATAAACTAAGTATCTCTCTCTCCTGGAATATCTAGGTTTGAAACTTATGAACATTATAGCAAGAAATCATGATCCTGTGACTCTTCTTACTTCGGAAAAAACATCAGACTAAGAAAATTTAGTACCCTTTCTCTTGTGATCCACACACACACATATGTTGTAGATGTATATTATGCATAATGGAAACATCCTAGTTAAAATAACAAGGCATTTAGTGATAAAATAGTGTTAAGTTATCAATATAAAAAAAACATTTTTAAACTCCAAGTGGATAGCCCTTTTTAAGTTACACATTTTTATAAAATTATCTTGTTTTACTAACTTTAATAAACACTAAGGAAAGAGGGTCTTGTGTTATATTAAACAAAGTGGGCTAGCAACTGAGTAAAAGAGCTGTTTTGCACACAACAGCTAAGTAAAAGCAGCATGAAACCCAAGATTAATCATTTTCCCAATAAGGAAAAATTACTATGTAGAAAAAAATGCAAAAATAAAACAGGATAGAGAAAAAACACTTATCAAAAAACCTGAAAATTGATTTTTAGGGGGTTGGTCTATTCCAGATTTAAACTCGACAGGGAGTTTAAGATTAACGGATGTATACCACAGCTCAGACGTGTCTGAAAAATGCAAAGACATTATGCAGTTGTACTTATATGTTTGCACTGAAAGAATCTGGCACAAAAAAGTAACCCCATGTATCTTAAAATTGGTTGGGTCCCACACAGGTGAGTGTGGAAGACTTAAGCCATCTATGGTATGGAAATAATTCTGTCCACAATTTTGTTTCAACACAGAAACAAAGCAACAAACATAAAGTTTGTTAGTAAAATAAGAACAAGAAACTACTGATATCTTTATAAACACTTTAATTTTATTTGAAAATATAAACAAAAAGAAGAGATGATATTCTCATTGTTGTTCATTCGGTTTCTTCAACCAATTATCAGATCTGACTTTTACAACCAACTTACATTACTAATAGACATCACTGGAGGTAAATACATACTGAGCTTAAACTTACGTATAAATAGGCACAATAAGCTATCTCGGTTGTACACATTACAAGAATCAAACCCAAATGTAAACATTATAAGCCTTCAATGATAATGATAAAAACAAGTAATAAAAAACATTTTGTAAATGTAAAATTATGTAGGGATGGCAGTGCCAAATGAATGCAGATAAGAATATAGGGATGATACAGTTATACATAGATCATCCCTGTAAAATGCACAAGTACAAAATGGTTATGAGGTCAGTCAATTTGACTGACCTTGTAGCAAAAGTCTGTAATAATTAAGACATTTTTTGACTCAACTTGGTTTTCCTTGTACACAAGTCCTAGGCTCTTAGTTACACTACACTGATGCCTACCCTGAAATGACCATGATATTATGATAAACAAAGTGCATACCAACAGTCAGGAATACATAACATCAATCTGCAGTAATATTAAAGTCAAATATGCATTTCACAGTATAACATTAAATTTTAATATTGAAAGTCATGTAGGGAGGATCTATGTATAGCTGTATTATCCCTATATTCTTGTTTCATTCTTTTTGACACTGCCATCCAAACATCATTTTACATTTACAAAATGTTTTTTTATTACCTGTTTGTGACATTTTTCCCCCTGATTGAAAGTTAATGTATTCTATGAATGTGTGTAAAAAATATAATATTATGTGTATTAATTTTTTTTTTTAACTCCTTCACTCCATACATAATATAGGGGTTCACTCTTTAAATACACCGATTGTATAGTGTACAAAGTATTGAGTATTCTACACGTTAGTCACCTAATGCTCATCTATTATTGGCTGATAATTCCTGTTTCATCCTGTACTTAAGCTTTTTAAAGGAACACCAGATTTCTGTAAAAAAAGCTAACTTCAAACATAATTTACACTAGAATTATGATTTTTTAAAATTACTACTAGTTATTACGACTAAGCATTGACATCATGCGCTGCACAGAAACACATAGTGGATATAGGTTTAAACTGAGATTAGTGATAAAATAGTTGTAGAGTTATCTCAACTGAAACAAGAAGGAAAAAGATGAACAATTTGGTGTGTTGGTCACTTTCTGGTTTAGTATCTTAGCAATGGTTTCTTGCCTTGTTTTTGGAATTGTTGGATAAAGAAACAAATGAAAGTGAGTGGCAATCATTGTTTAAAGTAAAACTTTCTGTCACTGTTGATTTTTTGTGTGCATTTTTGTATTATGCCTATTGTGTACCTTGACTATCCTTACATATGGAGGCTACTGAATCTATGATGACTGGTCAACATAAAGCCATGTCAGTCAATCTTGTCCAGCAATTTGTCAGCCACAAGCAAAGAGAGCATCATTCACATTTGCAAACTTTTCATTAGATTTCTTCACTAAAATGACTTTTGAAGACAATCTGATCATATATCACATAAAATTCTGAGAGATCTGATATCAAACACAAAAACAGCCAATAAAAATAAGTTGATTAATCAGAACAATTCAATTAACTACTGATAGTCGAATTAACCATTGTCCCAAGAAAACATTTCCCCATCACACACACACACACCTATTGTTATGATGACTGATAATTTTTGTTTCATTTTTGATCAAACAATTGGCAATATTTTGTAAAATATGGTTGTATAAATGTCATAAATAAGGTGAAAGATGTGATATACTAAGGTGTGACATAGCTACAGATATATGTCATTTTTACTGTTGGTCTGAAATAGCTTTAGCATGAATTTTGTATACTTACATTCAAAATCTGAGGCTGCATGGATATATGGTACCTAACCTCCCAAAATTCACAGGTCATTTAAATTAATTCTGAAGAGTAGTCATAGTAATTTGATAGCAAGCGATTAATATACACAATAAACATTTGATTATGAAAGAAATGAGAATTGTCTATCAATTTTATCCTATATCCTTCATTATTAATAACATTATTAAAACCATTAAAGCCAGATGTCATCTTACCTTGAGTTATTTCTCGTACACCATACTTTTTGCTGTAAACATAGGCAAGACTATCCCCTACATTACAAGTGCAAACAATAAACTTGTTGCTATCTTTCATCTGACACAAGACAGCAGCACACAAGGTTGTTAGCATCCCATCTTCCTGAAGAATTAAATTGTGAGCTGCATGGAAGGATCGCAGGAGACAAATGAAAATATCCTGTGTTACAGAAATAGGTGTTAGAATAATGGTCTTTCATGCATACATACAGTATTAGCTTCTTGATTTATGTATGTATACACACACACACTACCACATTCATATGAAATAACAAGTGATAAATGATCAGAAAAATAACAAATTTACCAAGTTCTGTATACTTTAGGTTTTATATATCATCAAGTGCTTATTTTTTTTTTACATTAGAATGATAAGCAGAGTATACATATTAAAATCATAATTAGGTAGAAATAATATCTTTATTTGTTTATAAAAAATAATTATTATATATATTAAAAGATTCTAAAACATTTTATTCTATGTGGTAAACAATACATTGAATTGTCTACATCTTGTGGTCAATAAATATACAAATCTGTGTGGTTAGTTTGAAAATTAGTTTAAATTTACATCATAATCAACTCACATAAGGTAAAATAAAGTGTGAAAACACCCATTTAAAAATGTTACATATACCGATTCACCACTGTTTTCAGTGAAAAACTAGTTCAATTTGGTGACAAGGCAGCTATTCGTTTAAAGGTTTTAAACTGAATTTTAAATCATTCCTCCACAATAAGTTTCTTCAATAATGGAAGTTGGAGCAGAAAAACAGCAATTAAGTGTAGTTTCCGGAATATACATGTAGTTAACTAAGATTAAGATATGGCAATTAGACAGGTCAGAGTAGATGACCAAAGGTTTCCAGTCTATAACAACTTTTGCAGTATGGTGAAATACATTTAATATGACACCTTCAAAGGCAACATCACTACCACTGGCATAAAAGTGGATCACATACTGAACTTGGTTTCTTGATGTTTTTATAGTAACACGTGGTATTGTCCCTTTCAGTAAAATAACTACACCAAGTACAATCGAAATAAATCTGGCCAACCATAATAAAACCAACATAACTCTACATTTGAAATCAAATGCTCAGTGTGCACCACCTTCAACTGCCTCTATTCATATACACATGAGTAAACTAATAAGATCTTACTGTCACTAGTCCTGAGACCTCAATGTGTGGTAATTGCTACACAGCATATGCACTTTCTGAATTAATGACGAGGCTTGTGTATAGCTTTTTCAAAATTGTGCTGCACATAACTGAGTTATTGCCATATAATATTTTTTATGACACTGGTTGCCAGGCTATACACTTAATTCTGAGCACAGACTGATTATGTTATAATTCCTATTTGTTTCACAATGGAGCTAAGTGTGTTGTGATTTTAATTACACAGTGGTTTTCCTGCTGTTCTTGTATTTTGTACTTAAGGTTTTACCAGCTGTTAAAATGAATTTAAAGGCTGTTGCTGTTAAAACATCACAATCTGTGTAGTTTTGGTTACAGAAGCACTTGTCAGGAAAGGCTTTATTATTATCTTCATCTTTTCCAAAATCTATTAAAAGTAAGACAAATGTCTGGAATCAAATCATGACAGGGAAACTTATCCATAAATAATAAAATCCTGTAAATAATGTTGCATGTGATCTTCTTGTTCAAGGTGCAGGTTTTCCATTAAAAGAAAGGGATTCATGTGCCTAATGACTTAACAGATGTTTAATTACTTAGCCAATTCTGCAGAAAGACACAGTGACCTAACCATTCAACTCATTCATCTTTTTAAGAAATGTCTTATCACATACTCTGGAACAATGAAGGTTTCCATTATTGAACAACATTTGTGATAGAACAGATTTTTTTGCAGTAATACTTTGAGGATAATAGAATTTGTGAGGAAATTTGGGAAGTTAGTCATTTACAATATGGGTTGACTAATTTTGATACATATTTATACTTTTCTTTTGGCCTTGGGTTACTCTCAAAAGATAAACATTTGAAACCTATAAAGAAACAGCATTACAACATCTAAGCAAGTCATATTGGTGGTTAGTTAATAATGTGACAAACACATTCAAGGAGTTTTATATTATTTTGTTTATTGTATACATGTAAATACTGAAAACCTTTTGTATAATATGTAAAGCATATGCAAAAGAACCTTACATACTGTCTTAATAACAGACTGGTGTTACTAAGGTTGTAACTGCCCCAACACAATTTCAAAGTAAGGAGAGACAAAATAGGTAGTCCTTATTATGTTGTCTATGAAATAAAGCAAAATGTCATCTCATGTGTGTCATGATGATGATAATATGTTCCAAAGTTTTGCTTTAACACAACAGTATAAGTAAGACAAATTTCATTTGGAAGAGTTTTCTTGAAGTATGCACAATTCATATTTGCAAAGAATGTTATCGTATGGAGCAGTAATTAATTCTAACAAGCAAAGTCTCACAATAAGAAACACCTCTTACACAATGGCAGCACCATCCTGTTCTATTAAATAACATGAGAGTAACAAAGTCTCACAATAAGAAACACCTCTTACACAATGGCAGCACCATCCTGTTCTATTAAATAACATGAGAGTAACAAAGTCTCCCAATAAGAAACACCTCTTACACAATGGCAGCACCATCCTGTTCTATTAAATAACATG